GCAAGAAAAGAAGCATTAGTATAGGGATCCTACTGTGATTCTTCTTTTGATGTTTATTGACCAAATGCATGCACCTGCATTCTTTTTAGCCAATGCAATCTCAAAACACCATCTAAGCTGTAAATTAATATCAAAACTACAAAAGAATATCCAACGATGTTGGCATTGGAGGTGAAAGTTTATGAGTGCATGTACTGTTTACTGGATTCGAAATATAGTATTCATAGTCTGAATATACTTGAATTATTAATAAATCCAGAACATCTGTATGATATTTCTTCTTCCCTGTCCACTTTAGACTTAATTTCTCTGCAAACATTTGCAATTGACAATACTTGAATTATTAATAAATAGTCCTGCATCTACTTTTCACTCACTCAAACAAATACATATGCATCTACTTCTCACTCATTCAAACAAATACATATTTATTCTAATAAGTAATGTGGTTCGGCTTTCCAGGTTGAACTTTCCAGGTCAAGGGTTAAGTCTTGATTTGATAATTCATGGGTTTTGCAGGATTAATTATATGGATGAGATGGAAGATGACTCATGCGAAATGGTGTAGAAAAGTGGGAACCAATTTGTGGTGAATGATCAGCCATTTTATGTGAACGGGTTCAATACTTACTGGTTGATGGTATTGGCTGCAGACGAGTCTACAAGAGGGAAAGTCACTGAGGTCTTTCAACAAGCGTCGACACCGATCAATTTAGCCATTTATGATCTGATCCGAACCGAACCGATCCGACTTGCAAAATAAGCATACCAACACATGATTCAAGGTCAGACTAATGTTTCAGAATTGTGATTCAATTGTGATTCACCCGCGCTGCATCGCGCGGGTATACCACTAGTAAATTATTATATACATAAGCATGAGTATTATAAATTTATCATACTTATTTTGATATTTTTAAAATTATATAATTTAGTTATTTATATGAGTAAATACGTATTTGATAATGAAAACATATCTACAATACATTGATTTTATTTTTATTAAAGATATGATTCCTCTTAATTAATCGTTAATTAAAATATACCAGTTTTAAGAACCTTTATCATTAATTTATGTCAATCATACAATGTTTAATGAAATTTTGACTAATAGCAATATTAGACCCAAAAACGACGCTAAAAATATAACAATTTGAAAAATAAATGAGATATTTATAAAAGACTAGAAAAATGTAATCACCTTTACAAAAAGTAGTATTTCAAAAATTTTAGGTTATTTTAATATTTTTAAAATGATGTAAATAAAAGATTGTGAATAAAATAAAATAAAATAATTAATATCGTGCAACTTAGAGAGTTGTAGTTATTTAAATAAAAAAATGCATTCTTACATATATTTTTTAATAAATAAATTATCGGACTTTTAAAATTTGATTACTTGAATTATTTCAACCCAAAAAAATATGCTACATAAGTTTGTTTGTCTCACAAATCAAATAAGTGGGAAAACGATTTTAAAGTCACGGTTTCTCTTATTTTTAATTTATCCAGATTGTTGTTGAATAAATCTTTTTATAATACACTAGATGGATACTCACACAAAACAGCTAGATACATCTCGATTTTAATGTTTCATTTATTTTATCTTAGTTGATGTTATAATACGGTTTTTTATATGGTTTTAAGAAAGCGATAACGTTTTTTTTAATAAAATATAAATATGAAGATATCATAAAATATAAAAAAATTATTGATATTAGTACCAGACTAACCATTTAAAATTTCTAATTTTTTTGTATATTTCATTAACTCATTTTTTTTATTTAATAATATAATTTTTATAAAGATAATAATTAAGTATTTTGTTAGAATTAAATGATTATTCTAA